GTTTCTATAATAAAAGACACCCCAAAAGCTAAAGATGATACCGTGACACTAACTGAAACAGTAAAGAGGTATTCTTCGGTTATTAAAGCAGAGGAAATTTCAGACATTGCCAATGCCAATATTCTCAATTATGAGATGGCTGAACACCTAGAAAACAAGCCAAAGAAGACTTTAGAAGAAATGTATGCATTAAACCGGTACCATATTGCAGATTGCTATAGAGTATCACCTGAATCTATAATTGAAAAATTTATTACAGATTATGGTAAATATGATCATATGAAATGGTTTAGAAACCTCCAGAAACTACGAGATGCGGGCACTAATAATAAGACAGCAGTTGAGGCCATTATCCGTGAAAATTATAGAAATGATAGACTTACAATCGTTATTCAAGCTGAGAAGCATCAAATTTGTCTGAAATTACTAAAGACTTGTACACCCGTTAAAGATATTGATGATCGAAATAGATATAAAGTTAATGACGTTAAAACGTGCTTAAACTCACCAGAATCGATACAATACCTCCAAAATTTAGTACCAAAAATGGCTCGGGTTTTTGATAATACAGACGCATCTCGTAGTGCTAAAAAATTTGGCTTAAAATCAGATAAAGCAAAACTTGGTTTATTAAATTCAGCACTTTCTGCAATCTATGAGATAAAGTTTAAAACTACTAATAATAAAAATACGCATTACCATTTAGTTGAAGCATTTGACAATGAGGATGCTCCCAAATTACCACTATACCAAACGGGGAAGGGCAATTCTATGAAAATGGCAAGGATACACGTTATGGGTATAGTAAACTCTCACCCGACGAACTAGAGATCGCTCCCAGTTCTGACATACAGTTGTGTCAGGATATGTTTGATATCTGTTAATATATATATCTATTTAATAATGGCTTATGATATATTTTACAAAGGGGGTTTTTGTGACGCTTAAAAAACACAATTGGAAAAAATTTGTCCCCACGGCTATATTATATTACAGAAGGGATTTTTGTGTCACCTAAAATGTCATATACTAAAAATTTTATCTATTGTAGGCGATGAATTGAAAATTTGAGGTTTTATCTCTTCTTTGAGTCTACTCAGAAGAAGCAAAGCTTTGATGTTCTGCATCATCTTGGGAAATAAGCCCTTTTTGTCTCATTCGATAATTCAATGAATGAAATCGACCAGAATGTTTTGGACAATACCCCCGTAATGGATATAGTAGGTTTTCCACAAATACCGCAGGGGAATTTCTCTATATTTTACTCATGTAAACTCCAATGTCTGTAACAACCCATAGGTCGCCAGCATTTATTTCTGCATATGGATCCATCTCTTTTAATGTAGGGGCAGATAGCACGATCCATAAAAGTATTCTAGGGTGAAATATATAATATATATATAAAATTCAAATATAAATATCAATTTAAATATTTTGAATTTATTATGAGATAAAATAACTTTACATACTGATACTACATATACCACACTAAAAAAATGTATAAATTATACACTAAAAAGCCAGAATATACTAAAGAAACAATTACTGCTGAGCAATTATTCAAATTGGCTAATCGTTGGAGAAAGCCAAAAATTTATAATTCCAAAACGAATCGCATGATTACAATCGATGGACCAACATATAATAAATTAATACGTGATGGATATGTGCATTGGGAAGAGGTCTTGATTCCTCTATCACTATTCGAGAATTATATTAAAAAATAAAAATAAAATACTGTAAAGTGTTATCATAGCCTGGCTTCTACCCCCAAAGCTATAAATTTTTTTCGTTATATCCTATATGTTAGTAAATTTCAAATCGACATACTACTTTTGCTTATGCAGATATATAAACTCTTTTTTTCTAGGTATAGGAGGAAAAAGCATAATTAATTTCCATTTGAAAAAAGAATCTCTATAGTATATATCAGACGAAAGTAGTCTATATAAAACATCTCAATCATATTAACTGACTTATACTAACCATAGCAAAAATCGCTACATCATTTGTAAATTGCTACAAATTAACTTCTCAAACTAGTTTACCACAGCTTAGTAGTTATGTCGAAGAGTTGGCTAATAAACTTTCAGATAGTAAAACAAAAGAGCAGCCAGAGATCAGGCCAAAAGATGCTTCCAAGAGTTGGGGTTGAATAAAGAACAAGCTGATACTCTTATTCCTATTCAAGCTTCTGGGAAACATGTTTATGAAAGAGATCCTATTAAAATTATTGCCCAAGATATTATAAAAAATAATCTCTCACCTGAAGAAATAAATGGAATAGCATATGACTTGGCTTCTTCTGCTCCTACTACTGTTGCAGGAAATTCTCGTCTTAATTTATTACGAAAAGAGTTGCGTAGCTTAGAAGCTAATTATCTTATTACTGAGGCAACGAAAATACCTTTTTTTACTGAAGAAGCAAATCAGATTCAAGCAAGAAAGAGTATACTTCGTGGAATTAATGGTTACGATTGTCCCAAGTTCTTTTATCTGGAAAAGGTTTAGGAAAGACATAACAAATGTAATATTACCAAGTCTCCTTCAATGCAAAATCTAATAGATGTAATGATAATGTTATATATGCAATCGGCAGATATAAAAATCTTCGTATCAACCAATACAAACCAAGTCGTGAGTCATAGTATAATTCTGACTATTCTTGGTACTGTATTGGTTATGCAAAAAATAAAGGTGAGGTAGAAGAACCTTGGCCATTCCTTTCAATGGAAAAAAATCCAATACAAGCAAGAGAATTACCTATCTGGATTCAGAGATCAATACCGAACAAATTTCCCTTCTTGCTAAAGGATAGAGATGGAAATACTAATGTTGTACCACTTAATCAATTCTTAAGTCAGCATAGAATTACCTCATATATATTAAGAAAAATAGGTGCCAATCATGCTTCCAGAATACATGGAGGTAGGAATGATTCCTGCTGTCAATATTTACGACAATTGGCATGTAAATATAAAATAGGTCATGCTTTATCAGTTGAACATTATGGTGTAATGAATGACAGACCAAATACCCTGAAGAAAGGCAATAACATGTTATTGAAATGGTATTAGAACGATTTCCTTATTTAACTTTGAAACATAGTTTTAAATATAGTAATTATTTTGATTTTAATAGATCTGTACTCTGTCTTATATGCAACAATGATCATAAAAAAGAGAATATAAGAAATTTTATAGAAGGTGAGTGGGAAAGTGGCGAATATTGTGGTGAAAAAACTTATCGTCTCTATTGTTATATAAATAAATATCAGAATTCGATCCAAATAGTGACTGTAAAAGTATAAGTTAATAAGAAAACTCTATTATTTCCACCAATTAATAATCGCAAATTGTATTGCAGGCCCGAAGGGGCGACCCTAAAGGGTCAAAACCACGTAAAAATAAAACATGGAAAGGCCACAGGACCTCCTTCTTTATTTAATAAATTTTTTTTTTGCCGAAATGAGAACATACAAATAAAATAATACAAATACAAATAAAAAATCAAAAGCCATAGTAACCACGAGGTTTTATTACTTTTGAAAATGTTATAGGATTGATACCCGGATAATTATATAGAATTTCATAATCAAAAATTATGCCCACACCAGATAGCTTTTTTTGATCACTTTCTGGATTGGAGTCATTAGTCTTGGGGGCATTACTATCATTGGTCTTGGAAGTAGTGTTATCATTGGTCTTGGAGGTGGTACTATTATTAATACTCATTTTTCATACCTAAATACAAAAAACAAAGTAAGCAAAAATTCGTTTTCATAGTCTCCATTAAATGAAATATCAAATTACTTAAAAAATAAATTATGAGCAAGTGAACCAAGTAAATATATATATGAGCAAAAAATAATGTTATTGCTAACTTATCTTAAGGTGAAAACTTGCTTATTTATACCGTCTATTCGCTAGATCTAAAAAACCTGGCAGAAAAAAAGTTATACGATTAGTAATTGCGGTAGAGTAACACAATCTAGATCCTACCATGAAAAGCAAGTCTATTCGGTCATAAGTTCCAAATACTGAATCTATTTTGTTGCTTTTCTGGTAAAATTATCTTCCTTATAATCGACGATCTCTCCTGTGATAAAAAAAAAGTTAACGATCTCGGAGATTCGAAGTCCCTGTAACATATGAATTTGGATAAAACTACTGATAAATAACGTTGTACTCTTCCCTCTTATAGCTCTTTTAAGCCCCATTCATCTCTTTTCTTATCATAAGATCATGTATAATAAAGCTTTTAGTCATTATTCGTTTAGTAGCTGTTAACAAAAATCGACCGTGAGAAATAATTCTGCAGGAGAGTGACACCGTATAAAATTTAGACCACAACACTAAGATTCTGCAGAAATGTGGTACAAACCATTCAAGTTACTTGTATCACAAACTTTATTTTTTATGTGATATCTTTAATGCTATAACAGTAATAGGAAAAAATTCTACAGTAACACATAAATACTGAAGTACATAGAGTACATACCATAATTTATACCGATTATAATATGTTTATGCCTTAGTATGAGGATGCTTTGTATCTAAAATAATGCACATATTTGTTTACAGGTATTTCTTTGAATATTTATTTTTATAGCGAATCCGGAAATCACAATACTAAAATCACATGTTGGGTAAACATCCACGCGATGTTTTATATACAACCGAATCATCTAATAGATCAAATTTTGAATTATTTATTGCCGTTATACAACTATCATAGGATGTAGGAATATTTATGGCTTAGGGAATCCACCCCTAAAAACAAATATTCTTCATTTATATTTTCCATACAGGAAGGTTGGCTACCTTCTATATCGGGCATACTAATATCACTATCATTTGTGATGCAAATATATTAGGGGTTGAGGTAGTATTTGCCAAATGAGGTAAAGATAAGTATGTCGCATTATCTAAATTTCTACCTACATCATTAGTGTTATGGCCTGAATTCCCATCTGCATCATTTATATTACTTACATTTTTTCAATTAGTAGTTTCGTCTCTTCTGGTGGGATTTCTCCAGGTTGGGGATGCAGATCGATCCCTTTGACCGGTGGGAGATTCACGGCAACTCATATTTATCATTGATGAAACTTCTTCGTAGGTTGGTGGTGGAGTGCGGTTTCGCCGTCTTTCTTCTCTTCTTC